CCCCCCCCACCCCCTTTGGTTGCATCTACGATTAGTTTCTAGTCTGCAGGAGATCACTAATCCTTAACCATGCTCTCAGAACCCTCCAAGAAGACAATAGGTAATTTAAAATCAAAGCTCGGCATGTTTGCTGGTCAGGTTTTGCGTTGCTGGGCCAAGTGCTGCCTGTGAATCTCGTTGAGGATGACGTCGTTGTTGGAGTAGTCGAATATTCCGCCGTTCCACAACACAGAACCTGGGTGGGGAGCAAAGACAGTGTTATGTGGAGCAGGGTTTAGTTTAGTCCACAGATGTGAAGACGAGAAGCTGTAGTGCATACTCTTGTTGTTGGTGGCGATGTTGACAGCGGAAGTGTTGTGAAAAACAAAGAGAGGGTCTGAGTGGGTGATGGTGGCGGCTGTCAAGTTCCTGTTCTGAGTAGCCATTCGACTCCAGTCTGCAGAAGACATATTTGTACAAAATGACTTTTGTTTTTGGTTGATTCCCGAAAAAAAAATCACAGTGAAAGGATTTGAATGTAAACTTTCCCAGCTTGGTTGAATATTTAAATACTCTAAGTTAAATCTAGCATTTTGTTGCTGTTCCCTGTTCATGTGTTTTATCTTGATTAGGTTTTGAAAAACAATTCAACCTGAGCTGTAAAAATTAAAATTAAAACATAAATAACTAAAAATAGCTCTCCTGATTTTGGTTAAGGTCAAATCATTTGATGAAATTATAAGATTTGGATTCTTAAATATTTTTTACCCACCTGAGTTTTCAGCAAGTCGTAGTTTTCCACAACAGAGGTATGTTCTCCACTGCCTGCGGACGTTTTCCTTTACAGCACAGTGGAAAATAAAGACAAAAAAACCTACACCAAAAATAAATAAATAAAAAAATTTATTGGGGTAGTAAAAATAAAAAGATTAATGTTTATTATGTGAAATAGTGTGTTCATTTTTGTATTCTGAAGTGCAATGTATTGAAACACAGCTCACCTTGCAGAGAGTTGAATYTGGAGAAAAGGTAAACAAAGGGTAGGTAGAGGTTCCCCCAGGCGAACAGGGCAAACCCCCAGGTGAGGCCGAGCAGGACTATGAGGCCAATGATGCTGCGCATGTCTGTAATCAGGCCCCTGTTTGGGGACTGGTTGTGAGGGTTCTGCTTCTTGATTCGGTTCAGTTGAATCATGACAACGACGAAGACCACCAGACACAGAACAAAGATCAGGAGGAAGTAGGCGACCACGCCCACGTAGAAGGCGAGGTCATTACTCAGCCAACAGCTACAAGATGACAGGACAGAAAAGTCAAATGAAGAAAAACATTGACTTTTTATGTTAATGAAACTCATTTTGTTTTTTAGCAAATGATTTTTGTCAATGTACAATTAGGTTTATTAGTTGAAAAAACGTTTATGTTTATAATATCTGGGTGGTGGAGCTCATTATTTGGGTGTTTCTGTGTTTGCTGGACAGGGTCTAAGAGTAAATCAATAAAGGTTTGTGTGCTAATGGCAGGTAAAATATCTTTTCTACGGCAGTATCCTTAGAGGAAATTGCACAAAAATGCAAACATTGAAGTTTTGTCTCCGTGGGGAATAACAGCTAAATGTTGGGTATCTTACAAYTCATCTGTAGTCCCATCTGTGTATTTTCCATATGTAACCAGACCATAATTGTTCTTGTTCACTGCTATAACAGCAATCACCACAATGAGAGGAATACCTGTAAAAATAAATAAATAATTAAACAATAAAAATGATTACTTAATTGGCTGAACTTTTGGAYTTTAGTTAACAAGGTTTCCTACCCCAGCCCATCAAAGAGAACTTCAGCATGTATCTGCTCAGGTAGGGTGTGAACACCTGAACTATGCTCAGGTACATGTGCAGGGCCTCAAGACCTGCCCACGTGAATGTCGTCAACAGGAAGTAGTGCAGGAAGAAYGCGGTGCTAATACACAGACCTGGGACTGAGTACATGGACAGCCATCCATTCAACAAGAACACAAGGTTGAGGAGGAGYATGGACAAGCAGAGCTGGACCAGGATCTTAGCTGGAATGTCTCTGAGCAGTTTTCTGCAAGGATCAAAATCATTCATGTTTAATATATGACCAAGAACTGAATTACTGGCTCATGTTTTCATATATTTCAACTGTTCAATGTCAACTTAAATCAAGGGGTGATGTTTTAACATGCAAAACTCAGATTCAGCTWGTCTACAAGGTTAATAATTAGAATGCTTACTTAAATAACAAATATGTCAGCAAGGTGAAGGCTAGAAAAACACAAGAAATTCCACATCCAATGTAGGTGATGTAAGTCAAAATTTGTGCCTGCTTATGGTCAGTTATACCCTGCCTGGATAAATCCTGTGTTAAAGTAAAGACAAACACAACAAGGAGTGAACACAAATTTTAAAAAAAGATTAGCATGTTTCTTGGTACTTTTAGTAATTTCAGTTCATTTTCAAAATGTTTTGTAACTTGGATCAAGAGAAGAACTAATGACATGTTCACTATATGATCACAGCAGCAAACATGCAGTACAAATACCATCAGTARTGCAAAAGATGTCAGATGGTTGCAGCTGCAGTTTGTGTACTCGGGAGTGGCACTGACAACAAAGCAACCATCAGATCTCCAGCCTCCTTTACCACCTAAACGAAATAAACAGGATGTGTTGGAAAATTGGAGGCTAACCTTATTAACAATTCTAAAAGCAACTTGGATTCTGTTTTTTTGTTTGTTTGTTTGTTTGTTTTTCTTTTATGTTTTTTTTTATTGAAGGAGCTTTTTCAAAAGTTAAAAGTGTGGCGTTTTAAGCTTGGAAAAAAAAAAAGACCATCACTAAACAGGAAAGTTGTCTCTTTTTTCAGGCTTCTAGAATTTACAGTGCACTTTTGAATTTGATACTCTCTTGCTTTCAGAACATTTTGCACATCAGTGCATGATGTGACCAAAACATTTCTTTTTTATGTGAGATAGGCCAACACAAACCCCAAAAATACCCAACAGGCAGTGGTGTATGTAAAGTTCCTCAAATTCTTGAGTAAATGTACACACATTTTACCATAAAATTACTTTGCTAAAAGTTAAAGTGTGCTCTAAAAGTCTTGCTTAAATAAACATTTTAAAATTGTTGAAATTTACTGTACCTAAGTATCAAAAGTACGTTTCTGACATAAAATGTACTTAAGTCTTAAAAGTAAAACTGTAAAACCACAGTATATTTGCCTCAGTCATCACCATACTAGTCTACATACTGTATGTCTGCTATGTCCTGCTGGATTGTGACATGATTTTTGTCATACAGGTGTGTTGGACAGATACTGGCATGAAAATGTAAGGAGAAGTAGTAAAAAAAATACTAGTAATGCATTTCTACTTACGTATTCTACCTTGTTACTTTACAACTCTGCCACCAGGGAGAGTTGCATACATAAGAGTTCACCTTGTGGAAACAGAGCAGCTTACTGCAGTTTTAAAATCTAATGTCCCATACTTTTATCTTTGAATTGAAAACTCCTCTGATATATTCAAAATACAGGAAAGTACGTTTCCTGGAAATGTCACAAATCTYTATGTTTATACTCACTGTTCAAGGTGAAATCCCAGAATACACAGGATCTGTTGCTTGCCTACAAACCAATAAAAAGAACATTGTAATTGGTAATTGTACATGSAAAATAGCTTCCAAAAAATGTGAAAATGTATTCTTTTAAAAATCACTTGTCTTGTTCATAATTCCCTCTGTTATGCATTTATTTTTGCTAATAGGACACTATTATATATACTATATACATGCACTACAAAGCAGTATTGATGATGGTGATGWTGATTAGGTCTTTATTGTCATCGTACAGAGCACAATGAAATTAGTGCTTAATTAAGTATTAGAGGTCTAGCAAAAATAACAAAGTAAATAAATACACACTTGCACAGGATTATTGTTTCTGATTGCAAACATGATGTTTTCCTTCAGATTGCTGATTGACAGGTTGGCCACACTGGATCCCAGAACTGGACTGACAACAGTTTGGTTGTCTAAAGTTGCATCCTGTAAAACATAATATTATATACTGAMGAGCAATTAAAATGAAGGGTCATAGACACTTCACATTTGAGGACTTTGCCCACAGTCTTTACTCTGGTCTAAAATTGAAATGAATGCAAGATCTGTGTAGCAGAGTAAAAAAAAAAAACAATCAAGTTTGAAATAAGTAAGTAACTAATATTTCAGCAGCAGAAATGTACCTTAAAAAATGAATTTTTGGTGTAGAAAGTAAACTGAACTCTGCTGGCCCGCCTCTGCTCTTCAGGATTTAGACCAGCTGTAAGAGATGAGGGTAAGTATACTGAGCCCAACATAGGGCCTGACCCTTTTAACCGGGACCTGCTGAGAGCACGAAGCTGAAAAACAAATAAAAAAATAAAAAGGAAAAGAAAAATTACATAGGTCACTTTCTGACCCAAAAGCTTCAGGCCACAACTGATTGTTGTTGATTTCAGGCATTTCAGTCAGAGTTTGAGCTCAGTCRCTTAWTTCCAGTGATAGGTAATCTTAATGRTTCAGCACACCAAAARATATTTGAATGCTGTCATGCTTCCAACTTTGTGGACACCTCTTTTCTATTCAAACACTGCTGCCCAATGCAAAAAGCGAAGCCTCTAAAGACTTTATTTCTTAAGTACAGTGTGGAAAAAAATACTTGACTGGCTTGCACAGAACCACATCCTCAACTAMTAGAGCACCTTTGGAATCAACTGGAATGGAGATTGAGAGACAGATTTTCTTGCCTAACATGCTCATGAACACTGTACAGAATGAATGCCCACTGATTCCCACAGAATCACTCCAAATTCTTGTGGAAAACCTTCCAAAAGAAATGGAAGGTGTTGCAGCTGCAAAAAGGGTAGCAACTCTATTCAGTCCATGTTAGTTTGACTGTCAGGTAGCCAAAACTTTTTTGTCCAACAGCTTAAATATTGACAGTTGCACGACCCTTTTCCACCTAGTGTCACTTAGGGTAGTGTCGGTAKGGTCAGTGTTGGAACGGGTCAGTTCGGGTGCTTTTCCATTGACGTTCCAGTCCGGTTCCAGTGGGTGTGTTTTGGGCGGTTGGTGGAGGTGGCTTTTGGGTTTTTCAAAAAAGAGTTAATGCGCAAAATGAGAGATGGAAACACATTTGCCAAATAAGTTCTGAAATTTAAAAAAATGCTAAAAATTGTAATTAAAGTTGGATGGAAACCCGACTAATGTCACTGCCACAATTGAAAAAATGGRGCCTCGAGTTGTTGTTGTAAAGGCATCTCAGACATAACCAGTGACTCCACCCCCTAGCCAACCAGTGACGGACAGTGATCTAACGTCACATTTTGGTGTTGACTGGGACTGCTTGGAACCACAATGAAGTAAGTACTAAAAACAGGACTGGTTCCAAGAATCTGGCCTAATTGAAATGGCTTGGAACCGTACCGAATCGTACCAATACTACACTAAGTGGCACTAGTGGAAAAGGGGCATCGTTAACAACTGGTTATGGTTTAGGAATGTCAATGTTGTTTGCATTTCAATAAGAAAATAACCCTTTTTTTTTACAATAACCATGGCAACACGTGGGCACTTACAGTATTGTTTGAAATGAGACATTAAACTGTAAATTWGCTGTAATAGAGTTAATGAGTACTGCACTAATATTTAGGTTACCTGGATATTATCAGTGCTAACAATGTCCATAGAAGTTGTTGGAAAGTTGGTTCCATCCACTGTCCTGACCGCGAGAACCAATGAAGCTGAGGACAGGATCATCCCGTCACCTGTGACCTCCACTTTAAAGCCCAGAGTATCCACCAAATGAATTAGTCTGTCAGGAAATAAAACACATAACATACAGGGGGTGAACTTACACCGGTGCGCATTGGTGTTTTCTTTAAGAGGTAGGTCTGCCAAACCTGTTAGCCGATTGAGAAAGAGCCGAAGGATTCCCATTCATCAGGTTGTTGATAATATTGGTGATTTTTTGTCCCACTGATTGAGCTACCGAGGGGCCTTCCAGAAGTTTCTCTAGATAGTCCAACAAATTAGACACCTGAAACACACATTAAGTTATACGTAGACACACACTGTAAATTTGAATCAAAGTATCATCACACTACTTAAATTTAGTTGTAGTTTCACCTGAGAGGAATTGAGCTGAGTTGCATTTTGAGTTCGAGACAATAGCTCATCTGCTTGTTCGTCATCGTTTTTCTTACTTGTAGTTGTCTCTTCTGTAGTCACTAAAGTAGTTGCTTTACCTTCAAAAAGTTGATCAATAAATTATATGTCTCAGTCTTAATTTCTTAGAGTAAATACCCTTTCCTGATTTGGTCTGTAGAAATAATTAAAAATAAAGAAAGAAAAAAGAAAAAAAGAAAAAATAAACTTCACTTACTGGACATTGTAGTGATTGTTGTGGTGGGAGAGGCAGTTTGGACAGTTGATGTGTTAGAAGTTGTAGATAGTGCAGTAGGATTATGTTTATCAGCTGGGTTATGAGTGGTTGTTGTAGTTGCAGATACAGAAAGAGCAAGAGATGCAACAGCTGTAGTTGTTAGGTCACTTTGTGCTTTGGTTGTATGGATGCTGCTGTCAGCTGTGGATTTTTTGTTGTCTATTGTGTCAGTCACTCTATATGTGGTGCATTTTTCTTTGTGGTTATCAAATGAAGCTTGTGTGGGTTTAGTCATATTGTCACCAAAATAATTTGTTTGTTTCCCAGTTGAGTCTTTTATGTGTGTAYTGTCAGTCGCACTGGTGGCAGCAGAAACCAATGTGTTTGTACCTGTGACAGTTGTGTTCCATTCTGGCTTCCTGACTGGTACAGCTGTTATAAATTCTGTTGTTTTACTTTGAGATATRGTAGCAGGGGGTATAGTTTCTGATGTTGTGTAATTGTTGGAGTGTATAGCTGCACTGTAAGTAATTGTAGAATCACTAGGTCTATTGTACACGGCTGTATAATTGTTSCTGGTTGTTTTAGTACTATAAGTTGTTGTGTGACTGTTTAAAAGGGTGGTAGGAGTTGTGYCATTGTGTAATGTTGCGTAATTGCTAGGAGCTGCAGTTGCATTGGAGACTGTTGTAGCATTGAACACTTGTATGTAATTTTTACTGGGTGTTGTTATACTGTGCAGTGTTGTGTAACTGTTGCTGGTTGTTGTTGTGTTGTATGCTGTTGTGTAATTTATGCTAGATGCTGTCGTATTGAACATAGATGGGTAATTGTTGCTGGGTGTTGTTGCATAGTTCACTATTGTGTCATTTTCTATGGGTATTGTAAARATGGACATTGCTGTGAAATTGTTGCTTTGTGAGATTTCATTGTTTACTGTTGTGTAATTMTTAGTGGGTGTTGTCGTATCAAGTGTTGTGTATTTTTTTCCGGTTGTGGTTGCATTGTGCATGGCTATGTAARTGTTGCTGGTTGTTGTTGCAWAGTTCACTATTGTSTCATTTTTRATAGGTGRTGTAAATGTGTACATTGCTGTGAAATTGCTGCTTTGTGTGTAATTATTTGTGGGTGTTGTTGCATTAAACCTTGATGCGTAAAAATTGCTGGTTGTAGTAGTAATGTTAGAGTTTGTTTGAAAGTTGTTATGTGATGTAGCAATGTATGTTTCTGTGTGATTGCTGCTGGGAATTTCTGTATTGTATGTTTTACTGTGGTTGTTACTGGGCATTGCAGTGTGTTGCACTATGTGTGTGTTACTGGTTGTTGCATTGGTTGTAGTAGAAATTTTATTTGGTGTAGTGGCAGGGTTTATTTGTGGGTCACTGTTGCCGGGTGTTGTAGCACTGTATGCTGCTGTATCAGTTTTGCCGCGTGCTGTTGCACTAAACAGTTCTGAGTAAATGATGTTGAATGTTGTAGCATTAAATGTTGTGTGAATGTCTATGGGTGCTGTAGTGTTGAACATTGCTGTTGTGTGAACATTGTTCATAAGTGTTGTATTATTTGTTGTTCCGTAACTGTCACTGGGTATAGTAACATTGTATATATTTGAAGGAATGTTGCTGGGTTTTATTGTATTGAACGTTATGGAAATGTCACTAAGGGTTGTAGCATTGTATGTTGAATTGTGAAAGTTGCTAGATGTTGTAGATTTGTATGTGTTTGAGTGAACGTTGCTGAGTGTTGGAGCATTTTGTGTTGTAGTGAGGATGTTGTTGGGTGTTGG